GTAGGTAAATGATTCAGAAAGTGGAAAACCAAACTTATTCTTAGATTGATGACAGCAGTGGTAGCCCCTGTTACGTGCCCTGGTGATTTGCGGTGCCATTTTGACTTCCACAACACACCAGCATTACAGTGCCAAGCAATCTAATCAGTTATTGATGTGTGGTGCAGGTCCACATGCACACTGAATGGTTTAATGGCATAGGACAACTAGTCATATATTTTTTGGATTTACCGTGTTTGCCGGCTTATAAGACAACTCGGCATATAAGACGACCCCCTACTTTTTGTGTTAAAATATAGATTTCGGGCTATACTCGTCGTATAAGACGAGTATAGCTCAAAATAATGTCTAAAATGCACCCACTAACATCCATGGCGGCATTCCAGAGTGTGGCTCGGGGTTAATTTTCAGTACCATAAGCGGTAACCCTGAGCCACACTCGGGATTACAGTCTCTTACCTTGTCCACGATCCCCGCTGTGTCCTTCCGTCCCTTGCGAGTGTCCGCGTTGCAGGGGGCGGAACCGGCGGCAATTTTAAAAGTAAAAAAAATAGAACAAAAAAATAAAAAATAAAATCATTAGACCGCCAGGGAGGCTAATCTGTCAGCCCGCTGGTTGTGTGGTAATACTGTATGTACCGTAGCTCCGGCTACATATAGTATACCGCGCTGAGCCAATCACGGCAGGCTTTGTATTCATTAATACAAAGCCTACCGTGATTGGCTCAGCGTGTTATACTGCATGTAGCTGAAGCTACATACAGTATACCATATCCATAACCGGCGTATAAGATGACCCCCGACTTTCGGGCGATTGTTTTTAGGTCTCAAAACCCGTCTTATACGCCGGCAAATACGGTAGTCTGTCTCTTCATGTAATCCCAGACTGATGTTGAGGTTTAGGGCTCTGTGAGGGCCGTACCATCTCTTGCAGAAACGTGAGAGCTCAGAGGATGTCTTTCAAATTTAGTTTTTAGAGGAACAAGCATTTCCATTTCAAGATTCCCCCTCTATTCCTGTTCTGGTGGTGATCAGGACAATTGGAATACATTTCTTACAAGGACACAGCCATAAAAAAAAATTTGACATGGGTTTTAAACCCACACCATGTGGTCCAAACCAAAAAAAAAGGTTTGCCTTGTGGACTTTTGCTCTTCTTAAATATGTGACATTAGCAGAAGCTGCTAATCGACACATGGCCTCTCGTCCCTCAGATCATCGTAATCGCTATGAAAACCAGACAAAAAACGGTATTCATAATCGTTGCTTTTGTTTTTATTAAAGTCATGTGATTATTATCGATAGTTAACATGGTAATTTGTTTTTTAACCAAATGCTAGTGTACGTGGGAGAATTGACGCTGTGGCAAAAGGTGGGCACGGCAATATTGTTTTCAGTTTGGCCTTTTCTGTTTATGCATTTTGTAGGTCGTTAATTGATAAATAAAAATGATTCATTTTATTTCAAGTATCCTTAACGTGCATCATTTTTTTTTCAAGTGACTAAAATGTTTGCACAGTATGTATATCTAAAAACCTTTTTTTTTTTAAAAACAACTTAAAAAACTCCAGGATATGTAAAACGCAACACTTGCAGGGTGGGGCTACCCTCCTCTTAACTGCTTGTTTTGGTCTAGGGCCTAAAAAATAAAATAAAAATACTCGCCTGATCCTCAGTCCTGCTTGACTTGTAGACCAGTCCCCACAGCCTCTTCTCCCAAGGTTCTAAGGACCTGTGATGTTATCAAGTCTAATGCAGCTGCATTAGATGGAAGGACGTTGAGGGACATTCCACCGCCAGAGCGAAGGGGGGAGGGAGAGAGAGGTGGAGCGGTCACCGCCGCAGGGCCAAGGATCAGGTGAGCATATTTATTTTGTTATAGCCCCTAGACAAAAATGAGCAGTTAACCCTTGCAGTGGGGAGTTTCTTCTTTAATATCAGACAAATGATAAGTGTACCATCTACTTGCTGTACTTTGTGTAGTCTCTTTGTGAAGTATTGGCATGGATACACTTTTACATTTTCTCTTGGTAAATGTGGGTGGAGGGTTCTGGTTTTTAGTGGGGGGGGGTTTTTTGTATGTTTTGCAGATCCAATTTTTAAAACGACTGACTCATTAGTAATGATACATCTTCAAACCTGGGCTTGCTTAATCCTTCTGTGCGCTTTGTCATGTCGTGCTGACACAATGAAAGGGGGGGGTGACATTTTCCTCCATGTGCTTTACATAGCGTGTATGAATCTGAAGAAGGCTTTTTACTGTAACATAAAATGTTTTTACGTTTAGAGATAAAGCCAAGGCGTGCACTACTGTGTTTCTCTTCTGTCTCCTGCTCTGCATTTTTAGTTGTGCTCTCAAGAGATCCATATTGTAGGCATTGCCATGGCAACCTTTTGGGGAGGGAGGGGAAAAATGCCACTTTGCTAAGTTTAATCTGTGTTCCCCTGTCCCTAAGAGATCCTCCAATGATCCGTGACTTCACGGGCTAATTAGGGAGGGACAGAGAAATACTCTAAATAAGTGTCTGTGTTTAAAGACAGGCATCAGGCATGATCTAGTGTGGTTTTAATATAAAATATACATGTCATGCTAGATTATCTCATTATAAAGATGCTATGATGGCTTTTCGTTTTGTTTTTATTTTACATTTTTATAATGGTTTTTAAACTAATTCCGGAGGGTTTATGATCTTCTCATTTTGCAAATAACATTTTATTACAGTCTTTAATCCTGACATTGTAGTTGCAAAGCATGCTATGCTTTCCAAGAAGAAAGCCCAGCACTGCCTACCTGATTTCTGCAGAATGTGAATTTGCTAGTTGTTGTGTATGGTAGGAGAGAGGGAGAGGATTGCTTCCCTACTCATTGAACAGTTGCTATCTGTGACTTAAAAGAGAGCTATGAGGTGAGTGATTTCCACTCATTCTCATAGTTAGAGCCGACCTGTGAAAAAGAAGCAGTCAAAGGTCGGCTCTATCGATCGGGAAGTGAGCAGAAACATGCACTGATCCGCTCACTTCCCGATCGTCTCTCTGCAGTGAGAGGTTACTGTCAGTCAGCGCTCTGCGCAGGGATTCCGCTCTCCGTTCCTCCAGTGCTGAGTGGAGGAACGGAGGAGGAGGAGGCAGGCACAGCTGGCTCTGCCTCTAGATAGGCAGAGCCAGCTGTCACTCATGCAGCTGGGTGGATCCAGACAGTATTGTCGGGATCTGTCCCGGCTGTGGCGATCTGTGTATGGCGGGCTGAGCTTTGGGTCACAGGAGGCGGTTAGTATATGTCCTCCCATGACCCTAAAGAGAACTATGGGGAAAAACACTTACCCCATAGTTCTCTATTAAGTTAGGTCCTGTTCTTGCTTAATATTTTTTTTTACATTTAACTGTTTAAAAATAAATAAAAACTATATATTTGGGCTGAATATAATAAAGAAAAATATGGTTTCAATTTAAAGTGTTAAGTTTTTTCCCCCCTTTCTTTTTACCTGGTAATGCTGTGAATAACACACTTCCGGTCTCTGTGTCTACACTTCTTCATGGTATCTATGGAAGTAGCCATGGGTGTAGCTGAGTGAAAATCACTTGCCTCATAATTCTCCTTCAACCATTTTTAGGACCATCTTATAGGTATATGGTCCTACAGTGATCAATACTGCAGCTGTGATCTTGGTACCATTCTCTTCAACTACTACCCAGCATTCACATATGCTTCACTCTGAGAAGATTTATAGACACTCATTGAGGCCGGGATCACACCTGTGCAGCACATTACATTATTATCATGTTGGGCATTTGGAAAGGGCTGGCAATGCACCCCCAGCAGGGCCCAAACAGTACATGACCCTTGGTGCCTTGGGGTGCAAAATAAATGGCACCATGACGCTCTAATTCAAGCATGGTGAGGCACTGCAATACATGCGTGATTTGATGACACCACAGTGCAGACTTGTGATCCCAGTCTAAGAGAAAGAAATGGTCACCCACAAACACTGGGCTGTGATGACAAACAGTAGGCACAGTGTGTATATATGGTGAACAAAACCAATATCAATGTATGTTTAGCAAAAACTTCTTTTTTTTTTTTTTAAGCTTTTGCTTTGGAAGGATTACACCCTCATCAAGTGTTTGTTGTCGGTGCCCCTTCTGGGCAAATTGACTTTCTCTATTTACGCTGGTGGCCATTGCCACTGAAAATTATGGGAAATCCAAACTTTCAGTTGTCAGAACAGGAGGTGATGGGAAATCTTCCAGTGGGTTGTGGTGACAGCTGTTAAGGAGGGGAATTCCCCTCACTTTGTAAAGATTTTCTTTCACTTTCTGTTCTGTCTTTGAAACTTCTTTCCTGGATATACAGGCACACTTTAACCTGGACTTATACATACTTGTCTACCACTGCTTCATGCCCTTTCCACCTGCAGGTCCTAGAACGGTCGCCCCCAACTCCCCCTTTGTCAGCTCTAGGACTCGCAGCAGTGATTGGAACAGTGGTAGGAAACCCCCCTTATTATCTTATATCTTAGGGCATTGGGGAGAGTTTAAAAAAAGCTCCCATGCACTGAGGGTTTAGCATAGGGGAAGAAGAGGCTGTGCGGACCGGTCTAGCAGCCTGGCAGGACAGAGGTTTGGGTGAGTACATCTTTTTTTGTTTTTTTGTTTTAGACCTTAGACCAAAACGAGCACTTAAACTCTTGCAGTGCGGGGTTGGCCCCACTGCAAGGGTTAAGTTTTATTCTGCCCAGAGTTCTTCTTTAAGGATTTTCCGGTTTAAAGATTGTAAACAGCATTTTTACAGCTGAAGCCAACAAGTTTGGCAACAGTTTGGAATAAAAGAACAAGTTTAGGAAGTTGTATTTTTGGCATTTTTTTAGATGTTATTGTTAGTCAGTGGCATATAAGTACATTTTGTATGTGGATCTTTTGGTTTGACAGGACATGCTTGGTCTGTAAATTGTATAAGCTTGTTTCTGCAGGTTTCATTCAATTTTTTTTTCTTCTTACAGGCTTTACCCAGAAATGGCGCAATGGATCCATATTATGTGCATTTTCATTTTGGCTGTATATTCGTCAAAAGCGGAACAATTTTCCACTTTTATGAGTGAAACAGAAGTGAACCACCTAATGGTTTATGAAAACACAGGTTCTGTTTACGTAGGAGCAGTTAACCATGTTTACCAGCTTAATGGGAACCTAGAATTGCTTGTCAATATCTCAACTGGACCAAAAAAGGATGACAAAAAATGTACACCTCCTATTGATCAAAACCAATGTCCAAATGCTGTTCTTAGTGACAATTATAATAAGCTGCTTTTACTAGACGTGGCAAAAGAACGGATAGTTGTATGTGGAAGCCTATTTAAAGGAATTTGTTCTCTAAGACAATTGAATAATTTCTCTAAAGAGATTTCTTATGATGACAGCAGAGGAGAGAAATCTTTTGTTGCCAGCAATGATGAGAAGGTAGAAACTGTGGGACTAATAGCAGACATGACAAAAGATGGACCACGAGTTCTCTTCGTTGGGAAGGGCACAAGCCAGCATGACAATGGGATCATTATCAGCACACGAATACTTGATGAAATGGATGATAAAGGCCCTTTTGAAACCTATACTGATTCTGCTAATTTGAAATATGGCTCGGCCTCTGCCAACACACAGCAGTTTATCACCGTCTTCGAAGATCCTCGACGTGTCTATTTCATTTCTAGCCGATTGGATAAAACCTTACATAAAAACCGCACACTAATTACCCGATTGTGTAAATCGGATTATAACTATTTTTCGTATGTTGAGATGGATCTTGGCTGCAAAGACCAGAACAACATTCCTTATAATATCTGCACTTCTGCTTTCCTTGCCAGTCCAGGACAGGAGTTGGCTGATGCAATGAAACTCTCCAATGTCCAGGATAAGGTTCTCTTTGGAGTTTTCAGCACTTTTATCAATAATCGAGAGCAATCTGCTGTATGTATGTTTTCACTGAGTGACATTAACCAGAAATTTGAGCAAAATCGGGAAGAATGTTACACCAGCTCTTCGGAATCCGTAAACCAAGATGGCGAGAGCATATTTTCAAAGCCATTCGGTGATAAAATAGGCTGTGGTGGAAAACAGGTAAATAGGCTGTTAAAATCAACATGTATAAGCTTTTTGTACAGGAAACTTCTAAACACTAAAATAGTCCAAGCAGCATTGTGGTATTACATTAGACTTTAAAAAAAAAAAAATTTTAAGACACTCACTTTGCCAATTCACGGCAAAGTGACGATAACTATAGACTTATACATACCTAGCCACACACCCCGCTCCTTTTCTGCACCACAACAACTTATCTCCAGACCTGAACATGTCACTGAGGGGGCATATCATTCCCTGTCTAAGCCCCAACACAAGCAACACTGGAGCTGCGATGTGGGAACGTGGTCGTGAGGGAGTATAAAAGCTGGGTGGGGGGTGTGCTATCTACAGGCTCTGTCATTTTGCCCTGATTGGGCAGAGTAACAGTGCATTTTTAGAGCCCAACTTCAAGCAAAACTTTTTAATTCTATTTTGTATTGTGCAAGAGTTGGAGCCCCTATTTATTGCTGTCTGTATATTTATACAGGACAGCCAGATCTTTCCAACAAGGACAAACTCATTTTTAGTAGATTGTGGAATAGCAAGAACTGCATTTCTATTCCGGTCCCTGGACAACTGCAACCTAATTTCTTGTATGTGTGTGGCAAGAACAGGAAGTGGGGGCAACATTTCCTCTCTGCCATCCTAGAGAGAGAAAAATTCCTGAAAAAAGCTTTAAAAAAAGCTTTTGGTCATTCAGCTCCACTTTGGGAGAGTTAAAGTTAATGTCTAGTATAGTTTTGTTTTGAAGTAAAGAAAGGTTTAAACTCCTATCGGATTACTTTATTTTTTACAATCTGTGTCCTGCTGGAGACCTTTTAACAGGTAGAGAGGTAATAACCTCATATCACCAGAATATTATTCGCCATTATAAAGATTTGTCCTCCCCTGGACTCTTAGATCATCTGAGCATGCATTTATTATTTAAGGCAAGCTGACTGTGTGTGGACACATGCCTCCAGAACTCCGCTATCTCAGGGAAACAATAGTGATCAACCAAAATCATTCAGCTGGACTGATCAAAGGCTTTCCTTAGTCCACTTAATTTGGGGTGCCCTGCACAATTGCTCCCTTAGTACTTTGTTTTCTAGGTTTGATTTTGATATTTTAATAGCTCGCCAGACCCTGGGATATTACTTTACATGCTAACATAAATATTTCACATAAATAAAGCTCTTCTTCAAAGGAATGGAGGACAAAAGTGGATGAGCCACAAGAACTAAATTTGGGAACAGGCCACATAGACCAAGAAATAGTTTGTCTTTTTACTTAAAGGAGAATTGTGTGGTGAGTGAAAAACACTTATCCCCATAATTCAAGCCAACCTGTGATACTGAAGCTGTCGCAGGTTGATTCTATTGATTGGGAAGTCTGTGAACACATCGCTGACTTTCCGATCCTCTCTCCGCAGAGAGCGATGACTGTCAGTCACCGCTCCCCACGGTTATTCTCCCATCTCTGTTTCTCAGGCGCTGACTGGAGGAACGGACAGGGGAGTAGAGCGAGCACAGCTGGCTCTGCCTCTAGAGCAGCGGTTCTCAACCTGTGGGTCGCGACCCCTTCAGGGGTCGAATGGCAATTTGGATAGCGGCTCCTGGCCGCCCAGGAGAGTAACACTTTCTCCTGGAAAGATTTGCTCTGCTCGATTGAGCAGAGTAAACCTTTCCCTGCTATCGTTTTTTTTTCTGACATCGGAGCCCCGGCCACCGTAAGTCAGAAAGAAAAAAAACACCATTGGAATGCATAGCTAGATTCCTATTGGCTATTTCACTTTGCAATAGCCAATAGCAAACTAAAATTACAACACATTTTTATAATATGTAGATAATAAAAATAATATTTTTTTTCAAAAATAATAAAAATAATAGTAATTTTTTTCCAAAAGAAAACAAACCTTTTATTATAATTATTAATAATAAAAGCTAACACCCTCGGCTTGTGTTATATGGGTTGCCATTTTAGCTGTTACAGCAGTGGTTCTAAAACTGTGGGTCGCTGTGTGATTTCTGCTGTGCAAGGTGAGAGTCCTCCTCAGCCCTCTCCTAGTGCAGCAGTGTCAGTTCTCCCGCCACACCGCCAGATGTCACTGCAGCAGCCGTGTCATCCCTAAATTTTACCGTTGGGGGTCACCACAACTTAGCAAATGTTACAAAGGGGTCCCGGCCCTAGAAAGGTTGAGAACCACTGCTCTAGAGAGGCAGAGCCAGCTGTTAATCAGTCAGCCGGGTGGATCTCGACAGTATTGTCGGGTTCCATCCTGGCTGTGGCGCAGCCCTGCGCTCTTGGCATATAGCAGGCAATAGCCCGCTATATGCTAAGTTTTGGGTCACAGGAGGACACCGTATATCTCCTCCCGTGACCCTGAAGAGAACTATGGGCAAAATAGTTCTCCTTTTAATGTGTTATTTGTATTAAACATGTTACACTATTTTGTAGTAATCTGTGAGTTTTTGCCTACTGTTTAGAAGCGGTGAGCAGATCTGCTCTTTTAGGGTACACAGTGATTTATTCTGTTTTTTTGTCTTCTTTGCAGTCTTCAAATATAAATGAGTCCGTGAAATATCCTTGTGGATCAGAACACTTGCCTTACCCTCTACAGAGCAGAAATGGTGTCACTGCAAAAGCTGTACTTGTCCGGGAGACTAACCCTTTTACCTCTATAGCAGTGTCTGTTGAGAATGAGCACACTATTGCCTTCCTTGGTACAGCTGAAGGAAAACTGGTGAAGGTAACACAATTGTGCCTTGATGAACTTGCTTTGCCTGTATTTTAAAAGTACAAAAAGGAGTTTGCATTTTGCAGGTTAAAAATTATTATTATTGTGCAGGTTAAAAATTACACAAACACTGAATCATTTAAAAAAAAAAAACCCCTATAAATGGACTATTGTAAATGTGTACTATGTAAAGCACTGAGTAAATTATTGGCGCTATGTTAAAACCATTAATTGTTTTTTCTCCATTTTCCTCTATGGCCATATCAGCTTATTAAAGGAGAACTATGGGGTCAGTGTTTTTCCCTTTAGTTCTCCTTGGGGTAACGGGAGGACACAAACTAGCGTCCTCCCGTTACCCTAAGCTCAGTATAATCATAGTTCTCCTTTAAGCAAAGATTTGTATTCCACATACCAGGGTTTTGCACGTCATCGAGGTACAACAGGGATAATTGAATGAGTGTCAAGCAAAGTGTGTGATCGTCCATACCAACCAATAATCATTCAGATTTTACCAACTTAGAGCACGCACGCTAATATATGTTATGCGATGGTTTGCTGCATGCATACCAATGCTTGCTGCTCTAGTGGTACCCCAACTAATACAAATGTGGGAAAGAATAATAATCTTAGCTAAAGCTTTTTATTTCAAATATGATTGATAAATGTTACCTACAGGCATCAGAACACATTTGAGCAATCCAGCCATTTAGGGTGGGCTTTACAAACGTTTCTATGTCTAGAGACCTCCACCTACTATATAGCTTCTGGTCAGGCATTCTCGGGTGGGTTGTGTATCAGCCGGAATGCATTTTTTCACCTAAGAAAGGCTGATAATACAGCATCTCCCATCTCACTTTCATGGAAACAAACATTCATGTTTGATGCAAATATGCATGATTGTGCAGCATTTGGCTTATTAATAATCCAGAAACAATCATTTCTGCCTGAATTTCAGGGACAAAGTCACTTAAGACAGGGCTTGACAAATCCCAGGTTGCCATGGCAACTAAAAATTGAATCCTGGCGCCTGGGCTTTTGTCGGCCTCCTCCACCACCTGATCAGCTCTGCCCCCCCCCCAATTCTCCTCCCCGCTGGTAGCCCACTGCATGCTGCGGGTCTGTGTCACTTTTGATCCCCACTGATCTCTCTGCCTGTATCAACAGAGGCAAAGAGGACACAGACCGCTGTCAGCCGCTGAGCCCAGGTCCCTCCTCTGCTGATTGGCCGTGAGCAGGTGCAATTTGAAATAGCCAATAGCAGGGTGGCTATTGCTTCCAGCCACTGCCTACTGTGTGTACGTTCAGCTGCCTCAGCAGGCAGCTGTCATTCCCCAGCTTAAACTATTGAAGTGGAAAGGAGACACTATGGGTCTAATAGAGCCCTAGTGTCGCCTTAAAAGGAATCTGTCATCTGCAATGTGCCATCACATAGGGGCTCCTAATTATTTTAGCTGTCTTTTAGATTCAAAGCAGATTTGACAAGCCCCGATTTTAGAGATGTCTACTGTCAGGAAATGGAAGATTCATAAAATTATTTTTTAAAAGGAGAATACACTCTTTACTGAAATGCCTGCTTACACTATGCTTTCACCTCAGTTACATTGCTTATTCATTCATATTGAGCATGTGAAGGCTTGTCCCGCAGGCACGGTGCTGATGCTGCAAGCAATCATTGCTTCAGTTTTTATCTGCTGCTACCAAATAGATATTTGGTGCCCAGGGCCGTCTTTAATACTGATTGGACCCTGGGCAAATATTTTCTTGGGCCCCCCACTCCTAGCCACCCGCCCCCGACATGCAATTTTGCTCATGCATATGGCTATACGACAGGGACGGAGCAACGCTATGCAATACCGATCGCACAATAAACAGAAGAGTGGCGCGGGTGTATCTTTTGTGGGCTCAAGGGGAGGGCTGGTGCAAGGATTGTGTACATAGGTGAAGGTGCATTTTTCACCCCCCGGCGCCCTCAGACAACTGTCTATGCAGCCTTGCGCTAGCACGGACGTGTAGCGTGTAGTGTTCCCCATCATATGTACATGGAAAGTATGTAGTGACCCGCATCACATGCAGACAAGCAGCATAGTGACCCCTCTCTTTGGACGTTTAGTGTTCCCTATAACACACATGCAGCAGCCAGTACAGACATGCAGGGTCTCCCCGTCAGATACCCACTGTTTATGGTGCCCTGATTCAGGCTGTAGTCCCCTCACCCGGCAGGCTCCCTCGCCCCCATCCAGGTGCAAAGGCCAGTGAACATCGGAGTCCAGGTCATAGGAGAGCCTCCCCCTCCTTCACACACATACACACAGCATGGGAGGGGAGGCCATCCACCCAGCTCTTCTGTCCGTGTGACCCGCTCTGCTGTCATTGCTGAGATGTAGGGCCAGTGGTAGGAGTTTTGCAGCGCAGGACCTGCTCAAGGGGCAGCTGCTTTGGGCCCCACAACAATGAGTGGGCCCTGGGCAACTGCCCCTTTTGCCCTGCGTTAAAGACGGTCCTGTTGGTGCCCAACAAGTAGCTTGCATGTGGCCTAGGAGGCAAGTTGATCAGCTACTCTCCTTCTGTTCCTGCTACCAAGCTCTACATAGGAATGCGGACAGCAGGCAATGTAAACAAAATGCAAAACAGTGGTTCCACCTTGTGTTTACAGCAGAAGGGAAATTATGTCATGGCACTTCTTATTGGAGTGAAGGCTTGGGCAGAGCTAAAGCTGCTCTGTCCATCCTCTCCCTGCAGCGGTGGATCACTGCTATAGTGATCTATTGCTCGCTGATTGCAGCCAGCAGTAGATCACTATTAGAAGTGATCTGTTGCTTCACAGATGTATGGGGGCGCTGAACCTGGTCTCCACTGACCATATCCAGACCCCCGCATGAAGAAAAGGAGATTGATAAATCTAATTTAAAAAAAAAAAAATCCCTTTCCTCATTTATTCCATGGTAACAGTAAATACATTTAACACATTTTAGTGCACCAGAACACAATACAAAATGGACAGGACTTTGTTTAATGTAGCACACGGCAAGGAACAGCATGCCCGCTACTGTAACAGTGCACAGGTTAACGTGTTGCAGTAACGAGTGATAAGACATACGTTTTGCCACGCCTTACTGCAATACAAATTTAACAAAACTATTGTGCAACCCTCTAAATGCATTGGGGGCACACTTGCAGCCCTCTATATATTAACACCCTCATGACTGAGGCCTTTTTTTTTTTGCACCCATGTTATATTCCACATTTTAGGCCTGAAAATTACTTAATTATATATTTTCTGAAAGCTAAGACCCTATAGAATAAAATGGCAGCAGTTGCAAATGTTTATGTTGCACGATATTAGTGCAACTCCTTATCAAACCCCAACATTTAGTGAAAAATGTGCTTAAATGCCCCAACACACAATAAAACACCAATTTTTTAAATAAAATAGAAAGGATGAGGTTACAACGAGTAAATAGATACCCAACATGCCCAGGTTAAAAATTGTGTGCGTCCGTGAAATGGCGACAAACTTCAGTACCCCAAAAAGACCATAGACGCTTTAAAAGCTCCCACAGGTCATCAATTTAGAGATTCCCCAAAAATACTGGCCCTAGAATTATTGCTCTCATTGCGGCGTGCGCGGCGATACCCAGCATGTGTAGCGCGTTCTTCGTTTTCATAAGTAGGCACACCCGACACATGTTTACGTGGCGACGCTCGTGCTTGTGCTGGCGGGGGACTTTGAAATTTTTTTAAAATTTTTTGTAAATTTTTTTTATTTCATTTTAATTTTAAAAACTGTTTTGTTTTTTTTTTACTTTACTTTGATTGCTATCACATAGGGGGGCTTACAAGCCCCCCCATGTGATAGCAGATGGTGGTGACAGGTACTATTTAAGGTAATGCTGGGGGTCCAAAAGACCCCTGCCTTCACCGGGTCATAGAAGCGTTCTGGCGACAGCCCCGATGCTAGCGACGTACACAGTACGTCGTCAGTCATTAAGGGGTTAACATAGCTGATTACCACTGATAAAATGTCTCAATCTATTAATTTTCTGAAAAATGAAAGAAATACTTAGAGGACAGGCTGAGATGCAGTAAAAGGTTATTCATCCTAAATTGTGTTTCTTTGCGTTCCCTAAGGGAGGAAGTGAAAACAATAATTATGCAAATATTCCTTTCATCCCACACACTGTACAATGCTTCTGTGTGCTAAGTACTAAACATAGAATGTTGTTGGCAAAGTGTGCAGTATGCAGCATATAGCCATCTTTGTGTCTGAAACACTGGGTATCGGGTCGATCAGTGATCAGTTTTTTTACAGGAAGATAATGCACGACAGCGTATATGACAAGACACTGGAAATTCTTCTAGCTCAACTCTACTCTCTGCACTTTGTTTTACTACCATCATTAATAATGGCTGTATGTCTGTTGTCTTCTAAATTAAACCTTCCAGCTACCTTAAAGGATAAGTTCACCTTTTGCAAAAATTAAAGTAATGCATAATTAACTTATACAAAAAATATGCATTTCTTTTAATATTTGCTTTCAATATTGGAAAGCATTGCAATTGTGATTACTCGATCACAGCTGCAAAGCTCAGGCTTCTGCACATTTTCAAACCGGCAGAGCGCGTACGGCGGTACAGAGTTTCAGTTAGGATAGATGGGGGGGGACGGCTGGACTTCAAACTGCATTAAATCACCTCATACGGCGAGCTCTAGGTAGATGTGGGAATATGGGCAGCTCTACCTAGAGCAAGGATGGCTGGATGCCATATGAGGTGATTTTAAAGCGGCTTGAAGTCCAGCTGTCCTTCTCCCCTCCCCCCGTCTCTCTTAACTCAAACTCTGTACCTCAGTACGAGCTCTGCCTTGGAAAGAATGTGAAGAAGCCTGAGCTTTGCAGCTGTGATCACAATCGCAATGCTTTCCAGGCTTGAATGCAAATATTAAAGAAATGTATATATTTTGAATATATTTAGTTATGCATTTTGTAATTGTTGCAAAAGGTGAACTTATCCTTTAAAGTGTGTCAAGCCAAAAATGTTCCTTTACTTTTAGATGGAACAGAGAGGAATTACAATGCTGTTCATGTTTTTACTGATTACCAGTGCTCCATTAGAGAGCTTTACCCTTATTTCCAGTCCTGGTGACAATGTTTCACCACATAGTAAGTAAGGGAAAATTTGTAACCGGGACACAACAATAAAATTCTGACGGGTTCTGGCCTTCTAGCCCCTACTCTTCTAAAGCACAGCATTTTTATTTTTGTCTCTGTTGCTGTTGAAAAGTTACCTTCACTTCCTGTCTTGTAAAACCTTCAGCAGGACAGGAGATTAGGATATATTTCTCTGAGCCCTGGATAGCAGTAAAAACGCAAAAGTGGTTCTAACTTCCCCATTCTATGCAAAACCATATTTTGGGTGGACATACAGTCCAATGATAACTCAATGTTCTCCTTTTGAGAAATCCTCTTCTATGGTTCTGGATACACTAAATTAATAAAGGCTGTGATCTGATTGCTGAGGCAATTTATTGCTTGAAAGAGGAACTTTACCCATATCTTCAAAATAACAAAGGCACCTTTGGAAATGTTTAGTAATGACAATCTACAAACCGATACTTCTAGACAATTGCCGGCTTTTTATTTTTTGCATACCTTATTTATTTTTATTTTATTGTATTCTGGCAGTGGCCATTTTAAAGAAGGGGGGTGGGGTGTTACTAGATATCCCTTTACTTCCTGGAACTCTGGCACATGTGACTAGGTCATGTGACCAGAAAAAATCATCTCAGGGGAGGGAAATGCCTTTTATCTGAGATTTCCAGGCAATGCTCGGCTGATGTAACCTTCCCAGAATGCAATGCTTGGGCAGGATTACATCATTTGTGCCTAAGTGGGCCAGGAAGTAGAAAATAAGACATTGTAAGTAAAATAAAAATATGTTTAGTTAATGAATGTAAGATTTCAGATCAGCATGCAGAGCTATATACTGAGGTGATTTTTAGTCATATGGTGTAAAGGTCCACTTTAATAAGCTTCACTTGTTTCTTGCTCCAAGTCTAAATTTAACATCTTTGTACTTTGTAGGCTCATGTTGGGAATAATGCAAGAGAGTACAGGACAGTTCCGTTTTCTATTACAAGTAGTGTGAAGAATGGAATGGTGTTCGATGCTGCCAAGGAACATCTTTATGTTATGACTAGAAAAAAGGTATGTGGTCAATTGAATGTCCTTATTTTGGGTTATTCAGCCCAAATTGTTTTTATTTAAAGTAAACCTGTACCTAAAGAAATACAGGGGGTGCCATTGTTACCTAGAAGACTAAGGTGCCAATTTCTAAAGCCACCGAGACCAGAGGCGAGGAGCAACGTGCGGGGTCCTCTGAGGTTGGCCGGCTGAATTGCCACTCCAAGCAGATTGTGTGCAGCCTGCGTGCCGGTAAAGGCTCATACACAGAGGGAGGAGGGGCTGAAGTGGTTAATGTACAGGTCACACACAGTGGAAGGATGGAGATGAAGGGGTTAATGTATAGATGTGCAGGATAAGGGAGGTGAAAGGGTTAATATACAGGTCCGAGTTCAGATAAAGATTTAGCAGCAAGGCTAAATGTAAAAAATAAATAAAACACCTGCCCGGCACTAAGACTAGATAAAGAAATATGACGGCTCTGTCCATTAAGTTCCCTCCCTGTTTAAAATGAAAAAAAGGGAGGATTTATGGCCTGCCAGAGCTACAGAGATTATTTCCTCTTCTAATGACATTAAAGAGTATATAAACCCAGAAGCATAAATGTAATATGTTGCAGATTAATAATCCTTAGATGTGTGGCTGCATTAGTTTTCTTTTTTTAGGGCAGGGTTCACACCTAGGCGACAGCGTTTTTGCACATTTTTATGTGCGTTTGTGTGTTTTATGCGCATAAATCAAATAGCGCTTTTTTGTGAGCAGAGTGTAGCTCATTGATGTTAATGACCAAACGTGTAAAAACACAGCAAACGCGTGTTTTCAAGCGTTTCCTATTGAGTCTACGGGGCCAAAACAAGCTGTAATAGGGCAGAAAAAGCGCTAGAAAACTCTGTGTGAATCAGGCCTTAGCATTCCAGCAAGGTTAGCTGCTGGAACACACTGTATCGCATACTAAACTTCCCCCTGCATTCTAGTGCAGGAGGGGCGTAGGTGCATTAAGGTTAATGGCATTGCACCCCCGCCCACAGTGCAATCGCCTGCACCAGAATGCATGGCACATCAGTGTCTGCGTTGAGGTCTAATGCGATCTGAAAAAATGCTGCATGCACACATTTTTCAGATCGTAGCGCACTGGAACGCAGGGCATTTTATTACCACGCGGTCCTGTGCGGTCGATCACACTGCGGGCGGAGAGAGTGTCTGCAGTGCCATTGACATGAATAGCACTGCCATGCCCCCTCCCACCCCAGAATGCAAGGAGACTTTGTGTATGCGATCCCTTGCATTCTGGGCTCAGGACAGTGCGATGAGCACACGGTCTGGTGGAAACGAGCCCTTATGCCAGAGATAGCTAAACTTCAGCCCTCCAGCTGTTGTGAAACTACAAATCCCATCATGCATCTGCCTCTGGAAGTCATGCCTGTGGCTGTCCGTCTTGTGGTGCCTTATGGGATTCACCACAGCTGGAGGACTGGAGTTTAGCTACTCTGCTTTATACCAAGAGGAAACAAAACTGTAGCCGTAACTGGTTAAAAAGTGTTACCTGGAGTTTGGATTTACTTTGTTGTTCAAGTGTGGCTCCATTGCTCCTTCTTGTCTTAGGGTGGCCCCAATCTATGAAGTGCTTTGCTGGCCGGATCCCCAGGCAAAAATGCCTAAAACAGAAAACGAATGCAGCCACCTTATTTAAGAATGGATAAGCTTCAACATAATTTGTCCCCCTTTTAAATTATTTTTTATATTTTTAGTTTCAACGGATGACGACAATCTATCACGTGCTGTTGATTTTAGGTACGGGACTACTTGTTAAAAATCTTCTTTTGTACATAGGTGCACCGTGTTCCTGTTCAGCAATGTGATCGATATTCAGACTGCAATGATTGTATTCAGGCCAAGGATCCCTACTGCGGCTGGTGTGTCATAGAAGGAAGGTATGTAAGATTGTTTTAAATCCTTGAATGAGATTAATTTGCGTACATTCTATGTAGAGGAATGCAGGAAAGAAGATGGGATTTTGTTTGCTGTTGCCCTTATCTATTTAATATAAATTTATTTAAAACTAACCACTTGTTGATGCTTCTGATGATGCTGAACAGTAATGATGGCATTGCGTCCTATTAATCAGCCAGAAATAATTATCCATTTAAACATGTTCAGTGATTCCTTCAATCATAATTACTATTGTTGTGATGGTTATTATTAAAATAGTTACTTACCTTTATTTTTTCCCATGCTGTGCAACTCTTTTCAGATGCTCAAGAAAGGAGAGCTGTGCACGAGCTAATGACCCAAACCACTGGCTGTGGAGTCCTGCAGGTGTTTGCATGAAGATTGAAAGTGTCAGCCAAAGTAATATGAGTATTAAGGAACTTGGGGATGTAAGTATGGTCTCATGATTGCCCAAAGTTTGACATACTAGAGTAGTGATAGCGAACCTATGGCATGCACGCCCCAGAGGGCATTCAGAGAGACCCCTCTGGTGGCACGCGAGCCTAGGCAGGGGTGTCAAAATTCTATCGGCAGATGCCCGGGACATACAATTCCGGGCGCGGGGCGGGTAGTTTTTTTTTCTACATTTAGCCCTGCTTGTTAGCCTCTGTGTGATAGCAATAAAGTTAAGTGGGACAAAAAATAAAAAATTTAAATATATTAAAATTAAAATAAGTAAAATATAATAAGAACAATATTAAAAAGTGGTG